ACACACACACACACACACACACACACACACACACACACACCCCCTCTGCTCCCTATTTTAAGGTCAGGGCTTCTTCGTCCTTCTTAAATGTCGCCCATGTGCTGGGGTAGCATTTCAGAATGAGCAATAGTTGAAGATGAAACACTATTATTAGCCCCTGAAACGCCTCGCTTCGGAACCGATGCAAAAAAACACGGCAGCTCTTTGTTAACAGGAGCACAGGGAAATCCATCCCCCAGCAGCACCTGCATTTAAAGGCCAGTGGGGGGCGTAGCGGTCGAGGACATCGCCTTGTTATCCTGAAGGTAGCCCCATTGACGTCTCAGGAAAGAGGGTATCTCTGTGCAAGGTTCTGAACCTGCAGTAACCTGTCTCAGTGGGGGTGGGGGGCGGAGGGGGGTTTTAAACCTGAATGAGACAGAGTGGCAGTGACTGACCGCTCTCCAGACACACCATGAACCTCCCCAGCCCACCTCCTAACCCAACCCCCCCGACACACTGTGGTCAAAGTCTGTATCATTCAAGGTCTGGAGATGTTTTTGGCTGTGGATTTTCTTTGTAGTAAAATGTAAACGTAAGATATATATATATATATATATATATATATAAATATATTTTTTTGATCAAAACCAAATTTATGCACAAATTATATTTGCTAGTAGCAACGTGACGTTTCAATCAAATGCAATAATGTTTTTGTTGTTTAGGGTCACTCAGCATCAGTTTCCTGTCAGCCGTTTATTTCTGGTTTGTTCATCTCCTGAGGCACGACACCATTTCCCATAATGCCCCTCTCATGCCACCCAACCAGCAAGGGTGCGAGTGCATCGGGGAGGCGTGTTTGAATGCTTGCTTTCCCATGTCGAGCATCCTCCCCCATGTATTGTTTCTGTCGCTCCCAAAGCCTCGTAGGCCGTCTTTTATCAAAAAAAGTCCCTGAAGGCATGACCAGTGGGTGGAGCTTCCTGTGTCCCGTGTTTACTTACCTAGTCGGCTCCTGGTTCAGTTTTGAATCCTTTTTATCGTGACTGGCCTGGAGAGTTTAAATCACACCGACTGATTTCTGGGTTTTTTTATCCCGCATAAAAATAACAATCCGGTATCAAGTCATAAACAAGGCTCCAGACACTCTGAATGTGAACCTGATCTCTAAACCCGGCCACTTTAAAACATCCAGGCAACTGCAGGAAAAAAAAAATAGAAAAACACCCCCTGTTGGTGAGAATCTGATGGGGGTTGAAGTCTCAGCCTCGGGGCTTAGAAAGCAGCTCAGTCCTATTGGGACGGTGACAGATGTTGGCAGCCTCTTCATATTACTGAAAGAAGGTGGCAGTCAAGCCGTTTGGGTTCCCGATTGGCCAGTTCCTCGGCCGGGGCGAAATCGGATCCTGAACATTATCCCCGTCGCCCGCAGCATCACACTTCTGATGCCTTTTTTCCCCCAGACAAGCATGTTTGAGGAATTAGGAAGCAGAGGTGTTGGGCTTTGCCTGCTCTTTTTGCAGAAAGCACTTCTGAGCGCCACAGAAATCATTGCATCCCTTTCTCACAGACTCACAGACTCACTGATTCTGCGCGGTTCCCAAATTGCGTCCTTAAATGAAGCGGCCTGTGCCCTTCTGTTTTTCCCCTGACCACATAAGCCGCGGGTTATTTAAAGATCCGAGACTGGATGCCTTTCCCTGCGGCCTCCGCCCCGAGAGCCTTTACCCCACTGCCAGACCACAGAGGTGGCCCGCGAGAGGCTCCGCCTGTGGATGCCCTGGCCAATCGGCTGTCAGCTCCCCTGTCGCTGTGTGGTCTCTGTTAGCTCCAGCCGGTAGTCGTCACGGTAACAATCGTGCCCACGTGCTTTGGCGGTCCGGAGCCCACGCCTGGGTTCCTCTGAGTACTGAACTGTATGTATGTAGGTGAGAGGTACACAGAGGAAACACGAGAACGTGTACACTGCCTTCAGACACACACGCACGTGCGCGCACACACAAACACACACACATACACACACGAACGCGTGTGCAGTCTCACGTGAAGCCTTTTTGTATCGTTAAAAACTGATGCTGGCTGGTTTCTGTTTTTGTATACAATGCTGTACATGTTATTTGTTGTCAGACAGGCTGTAAATTCAAATAAAACACATAAATACAGTAAAGGCTGTGTGTTGAGTTCATGTCATTGAAGTGGTCATTGCAAGGGACTCTCACAAGCAGTTGTGGGCCCTGAACATCCATCTGCATTTAGGGAACCCGCTGAATCAAACACAGGCATCACTGTTGTCTTATTACTGTTCTGTGTCTGTTGTACTTTCACCTGCTTTTGGAGGAAAACAGAACAGAGCCGATGTGAGGTTTGTTTAATAAACGGTTCCTGGTTATCGGTCTCTGTTTGTTTTGACGGCGCCTTCTGAACTTTTTTTCCCAGTAGCCGCTTTGGAAAAAGCTGCTACCAAAACACATGAAAGGGTTTTGTTTTCGCAGTGTTTGAGAAACATCCCTGGCCCGTTGTCTGTTCATGGTCGGCAGTCATGCGGGCTTCTGAGAGCCGGCGCATCTGACAGCGGGCAAAAGTGGAGAAAGCGCTTGACTTGAAGCACACCTTGTGTAAAGCGCCCCCGCTCTGTTGTCCGCTGAAAGCCGAAGGCCAGCCAACCCCCCCCCCCCCATTGTCTTACTCTCTGTCACCTGCCGCAGCCTCTGTTTGCACTACAGCCTTTAGTGGATCAGCCGACTCTCTGTGCCGTGCTACTCCACTGGAGAAACGTCGAGCACTCCGTCCCACAGGAAGCCGGCAAATACCAAACGTTACCACCCTTTGGCAGCCCCCCCCCCCACACACACACACACCCACAGATTCCATTCATAGCAGCAGTACTACAGCAAAGCCCCTTCAGCCCACACAGCTGAGCAGAGCACACCCAGCTTCCTGCTCTGCCCTCTACACCTGCCCCCTGAGCGTGTGCAGCGCTGTGTGTGTGTGTGTGTGTGCGCGTGCGTGCGTGCGTGCGTGCTCGTGTGGAGGCGGGGGTGGGGCTCACCAAGGCAAATATTTTCCAGGCTCAGCCTACTGGTCTGACCTGCTTTTCCCTTTGCCTGCCTGCCTGTGTGTAGAGAGGCTGCACACTGCAGCAGGATCCCGGACAGGAGCAAGCTTCAGCTTTCAGCTTCCAGCTTCCGCTTTGAGACACCAACACACGGAAAGATACGTGGGCCAGCTTCTTGGAGGGGGGGGGGGACTTTCTTTGGGGGGGATTTTGAAGCCGAGGACGTTGGTTCACTCTAAACTAAACTAAACTAAACTAAAAGAAGGACGTGCCCCACAACCCCACGACGACCCCCCCATGGGGGCAGCAGTCACGGACTGCCATCGCCACGGTCCTCGCAGACATGGGAGGCTGCCACAGCTACACAAGTACCACCGACGCCAAGAGCGCCCCCCCCCCTACCGGCCAGGCCAACTTCTCCGACATCAGCGGACACAAGCTGTGAGTACGGCTCCTTCCCCCCCTCGCCGCGTCTCCCTGCTCTCCGCCGTGCCCGTATCCAACGCTCGCAGCAGGGCGCCCGTGTGTATTTGAGTGCTGCTTGTCTGGCTCCGGGGGGGGAGAGAGAGACTCCCTGTCCTATTTCCATAGTCTGAATTGTTTTGCGTAGTAGGAATTGGCAGCATAAGTCTCAGCGGTAGAGAATCTGAGCTCAGCTCATTCCCCGGCACAGCAGACCAAGAGCACGGTCCCTGTGCAGATCCTAACGGGTTAAAAAGCCCAGGCGCGAGTTCAAACGGCTGTGCAGTGAGAGTATAAACACAGTAAATGCACATAGCAGCGCAATGAAAGGCTCCACGTCAGAACTGGCCACCCTCGGCGCTCAGGAAACAGCGGAGAGCACATGCCTATCTGAGGACGTCAGCTCTGGAAACTTTCCCTTATTTTGGATGAAAGTGGGTAGGAGCTTTGGCCTGTCCGTGTGTCTATACCAGGGAGCGAAAACGTGGGCCGTCCGGGGCTACCCCCGAGAGCTGAGTTAAGAAACATTAGTCAGCATACCCAAAAAATTCACTTGATCTTTTCTCCATCCATTTTCTGAAGCCACTTATCCCATTCAGGGCTATGGGGAGTCCAGAGCCTAAGGGCTGAGAACAACCCAGGATGGGGCACCAACCCATCACAGGGCACAAGGCAGGGAACAACCCAGGATGGGGCACCAACCCATCACAGGGCACAAGGCAGGGAACAACCCAGGATGGGGCACCAACCCATCACAGGGCACAAGGCAGGGAACAACCCAGGATGGGGCACCAACCCATCACAGTGCGCACTCACACACCTATAGCCATGTGGTAACCACCCAGAGGGAACCCCACAACCACTTGGGGAGAACACACAAGCTCCACGCACTCGAACCCTGGTCCCAGGGGTGTGAAGCAGTTGGGCTAACCACTATACCCCCCCCCCCCCCCCTTGAGCTTTCCTGATCGTTTCCATGGTTATGGTTCCTAACTTCACCCCCAATACAGTTAGGTGGGTGAGGTGGGTCTTCTGCATACAAGCTTTCCTGTTTTCAGAATACCTGTTATTTTTTTTCCCTCACAATTCCTCTCAGTGTTTGTCTTTATATTCCTGGGTTTACATATACAGTATTCTGGGGAGACTTCCGGGGAGTGTGCCCTCTAGAGGCCAAAGGGAACCCCTCACTTGGCCAGACTCCCAGTGGAGATGCAGTGTGTTAGCAGCACACGATGTTGTCGTCGTCGTCGTCTTCAGGGTCCTTTAGACCACACGCAGATTCATTAAACTCTAAGGGCAACTTGCCGTGGCAGTGAGCTGTCTGGGGGTGAAACAGTCGCACCGTGAGCCGAAGATCGTTTACTATACCCAAAGCAGGCACCTTTCACTACTTTGTATAAAGGCAAATCTACCCCAGTGCATTAAATATGCAAACGAGGTCCTTTCTTTGACAGTGGCTTCAGCGAAAGTGCTCCGTGACCGAGCTTACAGGCCAAAGCCTGCACTGCGTGTGGCTGACTGCCCCAGGGCCACATCAGAGAGCAACGTCTGAAAACTGTTGTGGAAACATCTCAGTAACAAAGGATATTTTGAAGTGACATTAGTCCAACTCTGTTTTATTTTGGCCTTCAGTGTTCAAAGGTATCAAACCTGTATGTGTATATTAAGTTACATTACACTCAGAAAAAAAGGGAGAAATTGTACCTTTGCTTGTCTCTGGGGCTGTACCCTCAAGGGTCTGCCATTTGTACCCTTATCTGTAGCTAACTGTACCTTTTAACAGAAATGAAGTCTGAGGAGCATTTTGGTACCATTGATGGTACATTAATGTTCTTTGTGCCTTTAGGATGTCCCTCAGAGTCCATTTCTGTACCTTAAAAGGTACCTTTACCTACAGCTAGGGTGCAATTGGCCGACCATTGAGGGCACCAAGCCTGTGACAAAGGTATACATTTTTTACTCTTTTTTTCCCACATATAACACAGAGACTTGCATACTAATTGAGTATTAGTCTTATTTGGGTCTTGCTTTATTTAGAAGATCTGATGTAGGTCCTGCTCCTATAGAATTGAATGGTGATGGAATAGCAGTGAAATAGTGCCTACATGTGTACCTGGGGGGTCACTGGAAGCTCCGCCTAGCCACACTATACCTTGACGGTCATATGTTTGTATTCTGCTTATCTGCTTCATTTGTACGTCACAGACAAAAGCATCTGCTAAATAAAACAATGCAGAGTGGCTCGTGAGGGAACAGACTAACTGTAAGCATGACACATGCCAGGCTTCTCTCAAGACGGGAATGGGCCGTTTTTAGCGAGTCCGGAAACTAAACGGTTTTTCTCACACTGAGCTCAGGTTCAGAGCAGCCTGCTGGGCCCCGAAATGTGACCCAAACTCTGCAGGCGTTTTGGAATCGTGGGAAAGTCGGCTTATACACTGTTAACCAGCAATTAGACCTGCAGAATTCACATCAAATCTATAATAATCCAAAGCGTTTTGACTGATTTACTGTACCTCTTTTTCTCATTTTCAGTTGCAAATAAATTCACGTTAAATGCTGCTCTTGTAAGTTAATAGCTATATCCAGGTTGTATATTTGGAAGAATTACAGCACCAGTGGCTGAGCGAGACAGATTAGTATTGAACATTTTTCTACAACATTTTATTCCTGTTGAAACAAAATCGTTGATGCATGATTTTGAGTAAAATTAAAGGAATGGTGGGGGAAAAGACTGCTGCAGTTCATCGCTTTTAGAAAGATGAGAGGAATTATAATAAATGAAAATAAATGACGCCGACCGAATACCAGCATCACCATCATCGCCAGATGGCTGAATTTAACGAATTAACCGCTTTCTCTAATTACACCCCGGCATATTAAAGTGAAGTTCCTGCGTATGAAGTGGCCGTATGCATAGAGCAGCTGGTCGCGTGCAATAAACGTGCTTCCAGATGCTGCGACCACGTGTGTGAAAGACGCGTCTGATCATTTATATTTCATTCTGCTTAAATTTAAAGTGCAGTATTAAGGCTACAAAAAGTAAGATCTGTCATATTTGCAAAGGTGGAAGGTTCAGGTCCAGAAAGTACAAATCCAGACCCACCCAACCCGTTGAGTATAAAGAGTCACAGTCACAGAGGACTCAACTGGTTGGTTGAAACAAAAACTTTGGATTTGTGCTTTCTATACCTGAACTTTCCACCTCTGCATATTTGTTCCGATCAATTACCGATGCAAACCGACCATTAAACTCTGTATTGGAGTTCAGGTTGCCGTCGTAGCACGGCCTTACAAATCAGTATCATCCCCCTCCAGAAAAAACAACAACTCCAAAGTGGCCCCGTCCCTGGAGGAAAAGCCCTACCTGCTGAGTGACTATGTGTCGGAGCACGTTGGCCACATGGACATGAGGACGCTGTCGGCACTACCTAAGGGGCTCGACAGGGCCGAATGGATTGCCAGCAACAGTGAGTGTCCTGGGGGCGATCAGCAGGGGTCCTGGGGGCAATCAGCAGGGGTTCTGGGGGCAATCACCTGGCAGCAGGCGGCTTTACTTCTGTTAAAATATATATCTGCGGCTGATTAAAATGTGCTCCTTAAAAATATCCAGGCTTGTCCTCTCTAACTGTGCACATGTACTCATAGTTTCCATTCAGTCCTCACCATTTATATTTATGCAATTCGCAAAAAATACAGTAATTACAGGATATTCGCAATCGAACAAAGAAGTCATATATAGCCGTTACTTTTTTAAAAATATCCTTTGATTGGATGACTGGGATAATTATGTGGATTTCATTTGAGCAGAGTCCTGCATAAACATGACCTTCGGCGGACTTTCTCTGGTTCTGTGGCTTGCGCAAACTGTTTGGCACAGCAGATCAAAGTGACCAAGCTTTGGGCCCAGCGTTTCTCCTCTAGCCAAAACGGCAGAAGTCCACAGTTCTCTAGGGCTGAAGGTCCCTCTGAATCAGCGGTTTGTGTCTGAGCCCTGCAGGAGCTCAAGGCTGCCTCTGCAGATTCAAACAAATTAGTCAGCTAAAGGTTATGAAGTCAAAGGGCCCTTGGCACACAAAGTGCTACGTTGTAGATAATCGCAAATACCAGACAGCTGTAGGCAGATATTTCACTTTCGCTTCAGGTCTCCGCGATTCCTTCCTTCTGCCATATTATGGTGGTTTATCCATTTTCCATTCTGCCGTATTTTCTCTCCCTTCCAGCCGTGGCTTTCTTCAAGAACATCAGTCTGCTCTGCGGTGCTCTCTCGGAATACTGCACCAGCAAAACCTGCCCCACCATCAACGGCCCGGGCAACATGTAAGCAGACCCCCACCTACCGCCCAGGCTGGCCAAGGCTGGGGTGCTATCTGCTCCCCATCCAACAATTCTTTCGTTCCCTGTCTTCCAAGGGTTTACTCCTGGATGGACGACCACGGGAGGAAGGTGAAGTGCTCCGCCCCCTTGTACACGGACTATGCCCTGTCCTACATCCAGGAGCTGCTCACTGATGAGGCCGTTTTCCCCACGAGGGCAGGTTGGGACGCTTCCTCTGATGTTCCAAGTTTATTTCACTAACATTTTTATTAGTATATCTTTAGTATTTGTAATTAATTCAGCTTTTAAGCTGCTGTAATCCCATAATAGAGAAACTCATCTATCAAATGAGATTCACATACATGCGAAAGGAGGCCTTGTCTGAGTTAACTGCTCTAACAATGGCGTCATGATTATAGTTGAACGGTCGTTTCTCCTTCGACATCTCCAGGCTCCCCTTTCCCAAATGGCTACATCTTCATGGTACAGAAGGTGTTCCTCTTCCTGTTCCGGACACTGGCGCACCTGTACTGGGCCCACTTCCGGGACGTGGTGCGCCTGGACATGCATCCACACCTGAACACGCTGATGATTCACCTAGTGACCTTCAGCCGAGAGTTCGGGTTACTGGAGCCTGCAGAGATGGCACCCCTGGACGACCTCATCTCAGCGCTGATGGAGTTCAATGGTGTTTGAGTCCGAGGGGAGCTAGGTGGTGGGGGTCCTGCCCCTGGTGAGGACGGAGATTTAAGGGACAGAGAAATCGGCAAGACCGTCTCCTGTTAGGATATGGGAATCCTCATTCTTCACCCTGTGAGGACGGCTGGATGCTGTGGGTGGTCTGAGACACAGGGTGGCTCTACAGTGATGGGTTTGACCTCTGAGGCAAACTGTGAACCTATGGCTACATCCACAGTGTGTAAAGCTAGATAATTAAGGGGGAAAAAAAATTCTGTGATTCTATCTACATATCCTATGTGCAGGTATATGTAATATGACAGAGTTGGCTGACTCTCCTGCTTGACACGAGGTAGCAATAAAGAGTTAAAAATGAATTTGAATAGTAGAACCTGTTTTTTTTTTTTTACCCAAATATGCTGCAGACTCGTCTGACGGCCTGTTTTATCAGTACGTTCTTTCTAGGTTACACCATGGCAACGACTAGTCGGTTGTTAAATTCCTGAATCGTTACATAATGATGGTTGCCAGTTTTTAAAAACCTTTTTTTTTTTTTTTCTACCGGTGTTCGTTTTCCATGTCCTCTTTTTGAGAGCTTCATATTTGCCTTTTCTTTTAAACGTACTTTTGATAAATAAATAAAAAGGCTCCTGTGAAATGTGCCAGCGTGTTTATCTGCCCGCGTTTCACGCCGCTCACTCTGACTTGACGTTGATACGTCTCTCTGCTGAGTCTAGTGCCTAGTCATTCTACCTTGGCTGTCAGGGGTTCAGCCCACACACAGCTTCCTTAAAAACAAGACGACATGAACGCGTTTGAAGCATTGGTTCTCCCATTTGGATTCACACTCTGCAGTTTTCCATATCAGAATTTTATTGTTGCAAGGAAACTGACTGTAAGACAGCACTCACTGTTTTATAAAAAAGTTCTGCTTCAATGATGTGATCACTCTGCTCCTCCCTTCGGCCGGTCTATCCTGAATTGTCACTACTGGTTGTAGTTGGGTTCACACAGGCCAATCAACAGCGCACCCTGTCTTTGCTACTTGAAACAGCTGTAATGTGCTTCAACAACAGGTTTAAATTACAAAATAAAATTTAAAAATCCTGCTTTGGTCAAAGCCTGACCCCACCCATTGCTGCAGCAGCCTGGGAAAATGCTGCATCCTGCAATTGGTCATTTGAGAAGGAAAGGAACAGAATCCGGCCAACTGCTCTATAGTGACACCTGCAGGACAGCAGGTGAAAGAACCTTTCCAAATGACAAACTTAATTGTTCCCATTAAACATGTGTTGCTTAAATTCTTTTGGTGGCAAAAGATGCATAGGACAATGGCTTCCCATTCTGAAACCCTGCATCTCCATACAGGAACCAGGATATCTCCAAAAAAAAAAAATCGTATTACCGTCTCCCAATTTAGCTTCCTGTGGGAACTTGAAGGACCCACTCCTGTTTGTGGTCCCCAAGAGCTTCTCCCTAAACCCAAATGATCTTGGATGACCTCCCTTCTCACCCACAACTCGAGTCAAAGACTGCCACCTTAGGCCAAAGCACATCTAACAGCAACGTGCCCCCCCGGTCTCATGCCTCCCAAAGAATAACCAGCAGTTTAGCAAGTATAACAAGTAGCAGTTTATTGTAAACCATAACAAATTATGCCATACATACAATTTCATATGTAACTTTACATGTGTATATAATGCAAGTATATGTATATACAAACACACAAAAAGAGGCAAACCAACCCATTGCGGGGGGGTGGGCAAAAAAAAAATAAAAGTTTCATTTTCTACGTAATGAAACATTATTCCTCCAAAACACATCCTCTGCAAAAACAAACCTGACTCACGTACAGACTGAGGTAAACGTACAATCCATTTTAGTTTTTGCAAACCAGCCTAAATTATTCTTTATAACTCTACTGGTTTGACTGGAGCAGCATCTTTTCAGTGGTAAATGAAGACCAGCAGTACACCCCCCCCCCCCCCCCCCCCCCCCCCCCCCCCCC